CCGGCCGCCGCCGCCCGCCCGCCGCAGACACCACCCGGGCGCAGCCAGCCCCGACCGTATTTCCCGCACATCCGAAGAGCTCGATGCAAAGACGCGGAAAGGAGCCGGGTTCTCCCTGGCTCCCGGCGCCGCTTTCCCCGCCGCGGTCTCGGACACTGCCCGGGAAGCGCGCGCGCAGACACACACACACTCACACACACCCACACACTCACACACACCACTCTGCCAGGACCGGCGCTGCCCTCGCACACCCGGGAACGCCTCCGAGGGGACCAAGTACCTGCTCGCTGCGAGCTGCTCAGCTGTGCACTTCATCCTCCGTTGACAAGGAAACCAAACCGCACTTCATTTTTTTCCAGAAAAACCTTCCACTGCCATCATTTGAAAATTGATTTACGGGGAGGGGAGGAGAAGGAAGAAGGGATGATATAGATATAGATATCAGGATATCTATCATAAAATTATCTCGGTCTTTTTTTCTCTTTTTTGAAAAAGTCAAATGTGCAAAAGTCATAGTTAATTTAAAGGAGGAAAAAAAAGTATTTTGCTTAAAAATGATCCCAGTCACCAGCTGCAAGAAAAGTTTCATGTTATCAATGAGTATCAAAAACAGGAAGGAAAAAACGAATTTCTTTTCTCACCGGCTTCCAAAAAGGGAATAAAAAATATAAAATGAATCTCTTTGCTCAGTGGTTTGCACCAGTATTGCAAGACCACGAACTTGTAAATACTGCCGTAAAATCCCACCTATACAAAAATGTTATCAGAAAAATACGCAAAAAAGAGTTAGAAACATGCTTTTCCATTTTTTTTTTTTTTTTTTTTTTTTTACAAAGGAAAAAAATAGGCACCATACTTCACATCGCTTTTCTCCGTAAAACCAGTTGCATATTCCGCTGCACTTGGGAGTCGCTCCCAGCGGGCTCCGTCGCCGCGGACTCCCGCACACAGCGCCTCGTCTACACGACCGCAAGCTAGAAAAACTTGGATTCAGGAAAAGGCTCAAAACCATGCTCCTCCAGCTTTCCCAAATAGAAACAATAATCAAAGAAGTGGAAAAAAAAAGAAGAAGAAGAAAAGAAAAAAAACAAAAACAAAAAAACAAAAAAGGACAAAAAAAAGAATAGGACAAGAATGCCACTGAGAAGGTACTCACCGAGCGGGAGTAAAATGTTGGAATAAAAATGAGATTTAGTGTAAAATACAGTATGGCGGTGGAAGAAGGAATGAAGCGCGTTTTTCTCTCGGTCTCTGCCTCAGGCACTGACACGTGACTCGGAGCCGGCTGCCTCGCGGGCGGCGGGCGCGGGCGGCGCGGAGGACCG